TTTCCTCTCCTCTTTCTCTTCATTTGTTTCTTTTCCTGTTTCTTTTCCTTCATCCTTATAGATTCTTGTATCATGTCCTAATTATGTTTCCTTCCCTCGATCAGCGTTCAATCACACTGGACTGCTCTTACTGTGTCAGATCTGTATGTCTTTCTCTTAAAGAAGTTTACTTATTGTTTATTTATTCTATAATCTGAAATTTTATTTTGTTGTTGTGACTTTATTATTTTCTGCTGCTGTTTGAATGTGAACTACTGTAACGTCTTAATTCCTCCTCTGGGATTCATTAATTATCTGTCTATCTTTCATTGCTTTCCCTTCCTTTTCTGCTTGTTTTCTTTCCTCCTACATTGTTTCTCTCCTTTCCTTTGAAGGGGGGAGGAGGGTGAGGAGAGGAGGAGGGTCCAGTAGAGGGGGAGGATGTGTGGATGGAAATAAGGACGTTTGAAAAAAGAAAAGGTGAAAAAAGGAGAAACCTCTTCACTGTCTGGAGAACGAGCTCCACTTCCTGTTTATCTCCATCAACAAACAAACAAACAAACTCAGGTTTTATTTTCATAATTTTATAGAAAGTCCCCCCCCCACACACACACTCTCTCTCTCTCCTCAGTGTAAATTGATGCCGATCGGCCGTTAATCTTTTTAAGTTGGCGTGAAACAGCAAGCAGCATGCATGACAATGGACCTCTGTGTGTGTGTGTGTGTGTGTGTGTGGTTGCAGGACCTACTGTATGCTTCCTTCTTTACATCACTGCTACAAAACACATCTGGACCCTGTGTGTGTGTGTGTGTGTGTGTGTGTGTGCAGCTGTTAGTTTACGAGGTCGAAGCCACAGAGCAGAACAAATTCTCTGTGTCTCTGTCTTTATTTATTTTTACTTCTCTGAGGTTTGTCTGATATCCAACACATCTGTGTGTGTGAGTGTGTGTGTGTATGAGTGTGTGTGAGTGTGTGTGTGAGAGAGTGTGTTGACACAGTTTATTATCCAGAACCCAAACACAGACTGAAAGCAGACTCACAGTTGAACACTCGTTTTCTCTTTCAACCTTCTGACAAGACAGCCGCTGTGATTGGCTGCTGACGATCAGGTGTCTGTCCTGGGTGTCGATCATGTGACCCTCTGGTTCCACCTGCTGCAGAGAACCTTCCTGGTCCTGAAGCTGTAAACCTTCAGTAACAGCAGGTCCCAAACAGACGCAGAGTTCAGGGACTGAAGCAGATAACCAGAGGTTTTACAGTATATTAACCATTAACTCGTTGCTTAAAGCACTTATTAATATTGACAGTATGACTGGATTCTACAACTACCAGATTTTTAATTACTGCGTATTGATAGTCAGTAAGGAACTAATAACTCTAGATTAAGATACGATAAAGTATTTATCCGGATTAGAAAAAAAACATATTCCTGTGGACGGCCCCTAAATCTCTTTATCCCCGAATATGTTCCTCATTCTACGTTAGCTGGCTAGTTAGCTAGTTAGCTAGTTAGTCAATACAAACACTAACTAACTAGTTATAGCTAATGTTAGCAAAACGGAAGCAAATCAGCTAGCTAATGGTTGATGTAGATCAGCTAGCATGTTGCTAACTGACTGTATATCTCACTTTAATCTTTCAACCATCTTCTGAATGTGGTTCTCTTTTCAACATAGATTAGCTTAGCATGTAGCATATCTAAGTACAGGAAGTTGACCGAGGGTCCAAAAAGGGGCGGGGGCGGGGCTTAGGAAGGGTAAATAGTCTCTATAGCTTGGTTAGCTCTCGACTCCAAACCCCCCCAAAGAAGAGGAAAATAATTTAATAATCTTTATAATTTAACTCTTTTTAACCACCAACATTTTTTAAACATTTGATTTTGTCAAATTTCCTTGGAATTTTTTAAAAATCTTTCTTGTTGATTTTATTTGTTATTTTTTTGTTCTTAATGTATTTGATCTATTTTCTAGCAGCTTTAATTAAACACTTTTATATCTGTTCCATCTATTCTATTGTCATTATATCTTATTATATTATCTAGTTTTTATTCCATCCTGTTATTATGGATTTATGGTTTGATTGATTTAACTGATTGATTGATTAACTGATTGATTGATTGGCCAAAAGTTGCTGATAAAGACGATACAATGTTAGATTTTGAGTATTTCTGCCCTCTAGTGGTCAAACAGAAACAAAACTTAGTTCCAGTGGACGAAGAAACTCCTGTCCTGTCTCTCTGTCTCTCTG